TTCTGTCTTATTGATCTTATTAATTCACGGAGCTGGCTCCAATCCTAGTAACACCTCACTCTTAGGAGACTATATGCAGCAGCTTAACTTTGGGTGCTCCCAAGAAGGAACAAGAGAGGCATCGGGGAATGACACTCACTCATGTGTATGCTGTATTTCAAAAGATGCTACTGGTTGAATCTTTACCCCTCCCTTCTTCCCTTTAACAAATATTTGTTTTGGATTGATATAATGAGCTAGACCGGAGATATAGCAAGCAACACAAAAAAGATCCCCCGTAACAGAATGAATACACTTATACAACAAGCCAATGAATACATAAATGCAAATTTTTTGACAAATATGGAGACAAATTGATAGAAAAGAGTAACGTGTTAGAATGATGCAGTTTTAGAGTGGTCAGCAAAAGTCCCTCTGCTGAGGTGACATTTGAAACAAGACCCAGTGAAAGTGAGGAAGGAGACATGAACAAGAGGCAGATAGCACAGCAGGTACATGTCAAGAAGTAGAAGCACGTTTCCTGGTTTTGAGGGGCAAGAGGTGGCTGGCATGGCTGGAGTGGCGTTAGAGGCAGGGGCAGGAGTGTGGTGGGGGGAGTGATAGGACTGGAGTGCAGAAAGACAGCAGAGGGCAAGTTCATAAAGAGCCTTGTAGGATATGGTAAGAACTGTGACTTTTACTCTGAATGGATGGGGAGCTACTGAAGCATTCTAAACAAAGGAAAGGCATAATTTGATTTATACATTTTGGGGGTCATTAGGGCTGCTAACTATAAAATAGCCTAGGGGGCAAGTGAAAAGCTATCAAGTTGTTTGTCAAGGGGCTACTGCAATACTCAGGTGAGGTGATGGTGACTTGAACCAAGACAATTATGATAGAGATGGAGAGAAATGGTTTGATTTCAGATATATATTAAGTTGAATCATTTGAAATGGATGGTTTTATAGGTGAAAATGATCAAAAGTTGGCAATTTCATATGGGTGCTAACATTTGGAAGTAATTCCAAAAGTAACTTGTGATGTATTGCAACTACTGGGTGAGAAAAAGAAGCACATAAGAGTGATTTGCTAGGTTTTTGACCTAAACACAAGAGGAAGAATTCTTAACTGAGAAGGGGAGGACTATCAGAAGATGGGTTTCAGTGGGCAATCAGCAGGTTCTTTGTAACATGTATTAGACATTTAAGTAAAGATAACATGTAGGTTGCTGAACTCTATCAGACTTGTTTTCCAACTTTTGACATACAAGTGCCTTACCAGTAAGTCTAGAGAGGTTGCTACTCCTTGCACATTATGTCCACTCACCATAATGTCATCAATGTAATGGACCCATGTGATTTTTTTGTGGAAAGAAAAGGTAACCAGTATCTCTGTGAATTAAATTATAATATGGTGCTGAGAACTGATATACCACTGAGGTAGGGCAGTAAAGGTGTAATTGCAGGCCTAGGTAATTTAGATTAAACAGCTTCTTATGGCATTTATTAATAGGTATGAGAAAAAAAGCATTTTCCATATTAATAGCTGTATACCAGGTGCTATATGATGTTTATTTTTATCAAACAATAAAACCTCTTCTGGTATAGCAGCTGCAATTGGAGCTGTCAGCTGGTTAAGTTTATGATAATTCTTTGTCATTCTCCAAAATCCACTGTTTTCTGCACAAGCCAGATAAGTGAGTGGAATGAAAATGTACTGGAAATCATCTTCAAGTCCTTGACGATTGCACTAACCTCTACAATCCCTTCAGAAATGCAGTATGGCTTTTGGCTTACTATTTTTGTAGGCAGAGGTGGTTCTGGTGGCTTCCACTTGGTCTTCTTTCTTACCATAATAATCTCCCCTCCATGAGTCAAGGACATAATGTATGAATTATGCCCAATAGCTGATTATGTCTATTTCACTTATAAAATAGTTCCAGTTCTGGGAAAATAACCATAGAATTAGTTCAGGAACCCGCTGTGTGACAAACTTGAATAAAATTCTATTAATCGCTTTGCCTTCATAAATAATACTCTGGGGGACTACAGTGACATTTCAGGTTTCCTTGAATTAGTGTCAGTTCAGAGCCCATGTCCAGTAATCCCTGATTCTTTCCCTTTCCCTGGTAAAAGGCTGTGGGTATCTTTGGGCAAGGCTGGGAGGAAGATTAACAGGACAGATTTTTGACAGTGTAGCAGGGTCCTTCCTCATGAGGACCCAGCCTCCCCTCCATTCAAGAAGTTCTGGGTCTTTAGTAAACTGACTCAGTTCTCAATCAATCAATTGATTGATTGACCATGACTGTATTTTTATAATTCAAGTGAGACTTTCATTTAGTCGATTGTCTACCTGTTTTACCTCTAGGACACCATTATTCACTAGCCAGCATCACAAGTCTCTGCCAGTCAGACTATTCTGATTGCTGCTTGGATTCTATGGACCACATGGCAACCACACCCACCTTGCCTTCAGTCAGTAGTGCTGACACTTGGCCCCCGACACCCTGAAATCTAATTATCCCCATTGCATTTAGGTTGGCAGCAAATCTGACTCATCTTTTCTAGGATTCTGGACTCTTCTCACAAATTTATTTGTCACAGTATTTTATAAGGTGTGAACTCTTGACCTTCCTGGAGTAAAGGAACAGGTCTTACATGATAAATACCCTCTAACAGTCCAATTTCCCAAAGACTTTAGATGCTTTTACTCTACACCTGGGCAGTTTGGCATTTCACCTTAATTTTGTGTAGGCCACCTTTTGGTCTACCCTTCAGCCACCCAAATACCCAGCCTTCCTTCCTAACCCGCCTTTCTAACCCTCTCAGCAGCAACATTAAATTTGCCATTTCTGTTTAGTAGACCCGTATTGATAAAGTCAGCTTGATCCAACTTTATGTTCCTTGTACACTTACCCCATACTCTCAGTATCAATTCCCACACATATTTCCTCATTTCTGTCTGTATAAATCGAGAAAAGCATGTAGTTCTTTTGGAATGTAACACAACTCTTAGTGGATCACACTTTGTAACTCAACTCAAGGTATGCTGAGACTTTATTTTAGTTTAGGTATAAAAGGAAAGAGGGGACAGACGGAGGGTCTTAAAGAGAATCTTCAGTATTTTGCAATTATTTCAGGGAAGGCTATTATAGTGTTCTTAGGCAAGAGTTGACCTTACGTGTGGGTATGGCAGCTTCTACTGGCAAAGGAAACTCATCACAGTTTAGAGTGTGATGTCTCCAGCTTCATCAGGAGCTTCCATATGTCCCCATTTTCATGTTGAGGATAGCATTTTATTCCCATCAATGTTCTCATTTTAGCAGCAGAACTTTATGAGATTGGGAATTCAATTTGCATTATAATTTAGCCACTCTCAGGATGAGGTTCTGCATTTGGTTTTCAACAGTTTCATCTCTGCCATTACACAAAATCAGGGTTTATTTCAGGGCAGACATAAATAGCTTCAGGTTACTTATGAGAAGCTTGGGCTGAGAATTTAAACTCCAAGCTTGAACTTTCCTTTCCCCACTTTGTCCAGCACAATTAGGAGTAACCAACTGGTTTTACTATACTCACTCTCTTGAAAACAACACTCTGAGGTATCAAATACACCTTTCCTACAGTTACATGCACACACATATACACCTCCCCTCTTCCTGTATATATACATATGAAACTTCAATAAAAAATGTTTCCGCCCTGACTGGTGTAGCTCAGTGACTTGAGTGTGGGCCTGCGAACCAAACAACTGCAGTTCAATTCCCAGTCAGGGCACATGCCTGGGTTGCAGACCAATTCCCAACAGGGGACGCACGAGAGGCAACCATACATTGATATTTCTCTCCCTCTCTCCTTCCCTTCCCCTCTAAAGATAAATGAATAAAATATTTTTAAAATGTTTCCAATTCTTTTATTTATTTTTTATTGTGTAAAAGCCTTTATTTGAACTAATACACTACTATCAAATTATATCATTTTTCAGAGTTAGAGTAATATTATGATCTTGAAAGCTACAGCAAACAGCTTGACAAAGCAAGAGTACATAAGTCCTACATACATATTTTTATTGTTTATTGACCTTATTTCCTTGTCTTAGGTGTAAAATTAGAAAATCTGTTGTACACTTAGCAGACTTGGCCTACTGTATCCCACCTAAGTTCTGAGCTCCCTTTCTCTTTGGAAGTGTCATATGCAATAGCATTTTAAATCTAAAGAGAAAGTTTGATGATACAGGTTTTAAAACAAGTAAGCATATATCAAACCAAATGTTTTAAGACAAAATATGTCAACTGTTTACAGCTTGGGTGTGAGGAGAAAGATGCAAATTTAAGATATATTTTCTTCTACTATAATGTAAGTTTTTAATTACTTGAAGACCCCTTTTAAAAGTAGCAAAATCAGCAGTTTTATTTAATGTAATCAAAATATTCTTGAATGTACAAAAAAGGATTACGTAGAAAGAATACTGTAAAAAGATGCTGATTTTAAGAATAAAAGAATATGAAAAGCTTCTATTACATTCTACACAGCCTGTTACTTCCACAAATTTTCGCTACCAGAAAGATAAGCAAAGGATACTCATAACCAAATACCTTCTGACCACAGTTCTCAATTAAGAACTAGCATACTGGATGGAAAGTAAAATTATTGTCTAATTATATTTGTAGCCAATCATCTAAGCAAGTCCCAAGAGGTGGACATTATATGAGAGAAAAATAGACAGAGAGAAAAAATATATAGCAATTGGAAATATCATTGGCAGCAATCTAGAAGGAGAGTAAATGATTCGGCTATGAGCACATTTCAGGTGTACCTGATACATCCAACTATGACTATGGGAAACAATTGCTTTTTATGAAAACTCTTTCTCCTAGGGTTCTCATGAGGACTAGTCTTATTAATCAAAACTGAAAGTCCTTCAAATGACCAAATAGTTCCTTAAGCCATGACGAGCTCTTTGACTGGAAATAGATGACCTGCTAATCATGAGCAAGGCTGTTTTTATTCAAATTAGTTCCTTTACACTCTCTTCACTCCCCTACCCATCAAGCATGCTAACACAGTCATGACCATCTTAGGTTTTACTTCCACAATGTCTTCAGGGAGAGCGTACACCCTGGCTCCAATTCTTCTAGCCATTGACACTGCATACTTGACATTATTGTGCTTGTCATCTTCTGTTAGATTGCCGCTCTTAACAAGGTCATAATTTATGCAGCCTGGCTGGATGGCGTCAATTAAATCCACAACTGCCAAATTGGAGCTGATCGTCTTGTCCTTAAAACTCTGGAAGTTGATTTTCCAGCTTCACTCAGTGTTCTGTTCACCCAGCTTACAATGATGTCATCATTAGCTTTCTGACCATCTCCAAGATCTTCCAGAATATTGAGGGTATATCTTCTCATCAGCTGCCAGACTAAAGCTAAAGTCAGGGTCTGGTTTCCATCATTCAGGTCTTGCCCTTCAATGCCAACCAGGGAGAATTTGGCAGGATGCTTCCCTAATTCAACAGCATAGTTGCAGTTTTCTAGCTTTTTCATGTTGGCTCCAAGTTTTGGGTATGGAGGTTTATTAACTTTACTCCAGTCAACAGGAACTTTAATTCATTCGTACAGCTGTAAGATTACCAAGGCATCTTGCAGGTCAACATAGAGATGGTTTACATGTGGATTAACACCAAGAGAATTCATCCAGTTACTGAAGGTTCTTCCTTCATGAGTTTCTCCTTCTAATAGAGTCCAGTCAATATCCTGGTTCTCTGGCTTAATTAGTGCTGGATATTTATTAAACAGTTTAGCCACAAAGGCTAAGTTGAGTTTGGGGTTTCCACTGACAACATCAGTAGGAGTAACAAACTGTCTGCAACCTAACATGTCTGCTTGTTGAAGCATACTCTCAGCTCTCTTCAAATCATCTGTTTCATTGAAACCTGACATGTTAGTATCTATCCATGGCTCACCTTCCTTTTGTCCTTTTGGTGCAGTTTGATTGAGAAGATGGAAATAGTCTTTGGAATCCTTGATGTCAGCACTAAAGTTGTTGATTTTTTGCCAGCCCTAGTTTTCCAAATGAAAGTTTGCCCATCTAAGCAGAAGCTCTTCTGGAGACAATTTCATAAGCTCCTCCAAAGTCTCACCATCTTGAAGTAAAGCAGCCAAGGCTTCATTTCTGCTTAATTCAATGTCAGTGAACAAACTGAGCTTAATGATCTACCAAAGCAGTCCCAAAACCAGATGAGGTTTCCCGGCCCACAAATCCTCTGCACCAGTGTTCCCAACGTGACACCCAATGGCAGAAGTGGAGTTCAGTGCCAAGTTCAAGTTTTCCTGAATGATGAACAGTGTAAGTTTTTTCTTGTTGATTGCTCTTTCATCAATTGTATCAGGGACTGAAAGGTTGATCATTTTACAAAGCACAATTCCATCACCAACAGCCTTGAACAGGTCATCAGTATTTGGGTTCATTAGTATAACATGTCGACAGTCAGGATCATTTTCCAAAGCTTTGTTTATCCAGTTAACAAAAGCATATTTTTCTTCCTCTGAGTAAGAATACTGTGTTCCTTCACTGGAGAGCTCTGAAGTTCCTCCCAGAGCACAAATCCCTTCTTTCCTGTTGATTGCTTTGCAGAAGGTTTTAGCAATATCACTGCTTTTCACCTCTTGGAAAATGTAAACAAATTCGTCAAAACTTATCTTTCCATCTTTATTTCTGTCACCATCCAGCATGAGTTTCTGAATAATTTCTCTCACTTTATATCCTGGTAACGGCATATTAGCTTCCTTGAAAAGCTCATGAAGTTCATGGTCACAAATAAATCCATTGCTATTGAGATCAACTTTTGCAAAGGCCTCTTTGAGTTCATCATACTCATCTTTGGAAATCTGAGTGGTAGCCATCTCATCCATTTAAAGAAGATCTGTGATGTTAAGATGTTACAAAACATGACAACTTCTCTGTAGATAGTAAGTTAGGTAATAACACTTTTCAGAGTGGTCTCGGGATCTAAAGTCACAGACTACCTGATCTGACCCGAATACCTTCGACTGACACACTCAAACAACTTCTGCCTCTCAGAATTTTTGAGGCTGCAGTTCTCCAATTCTTTCATTTTTTAAGAACATAAGGAAACATCTCTTTTGTTTCCTTGAGCATTGTGTGAAAATGTTTTCTAAACTGAGGCAGCCATTATGTAACTAAAAGGGAAAGTGCCTTTACAGGTGGGAAGAACCCTGCTGCTCCATGCATCTTCGATTAATTAAATCCAACAACCATCAGATCCCTGATCACGAGGCTTCCTATCATATGAAATTAGAAATACATTGTGCAAGTGTTTTTGAGTTGAGGTTTCAGTTACTTGCATTATAGTATTTTAACTGATACACATATTATAGGGAATTGATGGGGAATATTTGAGTCGACGTGCCTCAGTGTAGGAGAACAACCTGTAGCATCATACATGTTCATATAACGCACTGTAAGGGAGCAAGTTTGTGGCAGTGCCAGAACTGGAATCCAGATAATCCTGACTGCAAGTTCATTGCTCTTTTCTTCACATTATGAAGAGCCTCAATATCTTTCACTGTTCAAATATCAAGTCTATTATCCATGTGGTTTCATTAAGTTTTTACCTAAAAAGTGACCTGAAATGATTTTTCTTTAAACATGTTTTTCTCTAATTAATAACTCGTGGTTTCTAGATACAACATATTTTTATTGTACCAAACAGGCTAATTCTTTTCCTCCATATACTGACATTGTATAAAATAAAAATTCTCTAAGTGAACTCATTGTTTTTTAGCTATCCATCTCACAGATGGGTTGTCCCAAACTACCATCAGTTTCTCATAGAACCCATCCATCTAGTTCTATGAAAGTTGCAAAGCATAATCCAAGTTGAATTGAAAGTAGTTCTTTGTCACAGCTTTCCAATCTGTCAAATGCTGAGGATGAAATATGATTGGGATATAGTGTGGCTTGTCAATTCCTCAATCAAGCCCATTAAAATCTGGAAAGGTAGATGATGTGAGCATTTTTGTGCACTGTATTTTACTATACACAAACATTGAAAAGTTTAAATGGTCATAAATATTCAGCATAGTTGTCATTTTTCAGAAATTTTAAGAAAAATTTTTGTCTGCTCTATTACATTTTTCCTTTTTGAATCTCACACAAAAAAGGAAATTGTAGAATGTTAGATACTAGTTGAATGTTAGAGATTACAAAATCCAAGCCCAAAGACACTTATGGTGGCATAACGAGTAAAGTGGAGGATGGTTATAGACACAGAAGAGGAGGAGGAGGAGGAAATGCAACTGAGAAGGTAGAAACTGAAGGGATGCAGCCACATTGCAAGTAGTGGCAGTGGACACCAGAGCTGGAAGAGTCAAGAAATGCCTTCCCCACCACAGCTTCTGAGGGGAGAATGGCCCTGACAGCAAGACAATGTTCTCCAGTGATAGTGTTTTCAGGCTTCCAGTTTCCAGAACTGTGAGGAGATAATTTTCTATTGTTTTAATCCAATAAACATGTGGTAATTTGTTATGATAGTCTTAGGAAATGAATATATAATACTTACTATTCTACCCAGTTGTGTGGCTCTCTCCAGCTGCTCTGGTGTAGTCATGGAAGTGATAGATGGTTGAGTTATGTTTGCAAGGAGGATGGAGGCAAAAGGGGAATGGAATCCTGGGTGTTTCCAAAGAAATGACCGTAATAGGGAAACATGGATTCTAAGTTGGTCATGAGAGAAAACAGAGCAAATGGGTGATGAAAATCTGAAGGCATTAAAGAATGTGTCATGATTTGATTGAGAACCGTGGTAGGTGGACAGTACCTGTTAGCAGTCATTAAATGTTGAATGAAATTAAACCAAATATCAAGTTAAGAGTTCTTGCGTATTGCCAACCTCAAAACTTAGCACTGAAGAGGATTCAGTGGAGATCACAAAATCAGAGATGTTAAAAATTGGAATCTTTTCCCAGGACTACATCAGAAATTTTACCATGTACAGTGAAAACTGGATTATTAGAATCACAAGCATATCTACTTTATAAGCTATTGGATTCAAATACTCATGGAGAAATTAGCATAATTAAACACTTTGGCAAATATTTTGATTCCCTCCATACTCCTTTCACATGAGTGAAGTAATTTAAATTTTAATGTTTTCTGTACTTCTTGCCATAAGATAAGTTATGGGATGTAATGTACAGCACAGAGAATGCATAGTCAGTGGTATCGTAAGAAATTTGTACAGTGACAGATGTTGTTAGACTTACCGTGGTTATCAGTTCATAAGGCATGTGGGTGTTGCATGACTGTTTTATACCTGAAGTCTGTATACTATTGTATGACAACCAAAAAGGCAAAAGTCAGATGTTAGTCACCAGGCACTGCTTAGGCATAGTGGGACAAAGGATGAAATACTGAAAATGCATGAGAAGGAGAACTTTACATTTGGGAAGACTTGTGTTCTTCAGTTTTAGTTGGAATTTTCTAATTTTATTGTTTTCCAGAAAATTAGTCAATAAAATTAGGTTTTAGGTATAAACAGATACACATCTCTGAGGCTATACATAAAATTTCTAGATAGTTTGCTCCTAAAAACATTCGAGACCAACAGATTACTTTCATTCATAGGCATTAATTAGAAGTACATTATCTCTATGGCCATTAAATCATTTTAGTAAAGTACTAGACATAGGCTTTAATTCTCCACCAAGTAGCTCAACTCAATTCAATTTAACACATCTACATAAAATATTTACTTAGCTTCTATTTTGTGCAAGGCCTGTTCTAGACCTAAAGAAATTTCCAGGAGGAGTTGACCATAATCTTACACTTTAGTGAAGACAATCCTTAAAGGCATATGGAATTCTCCAGATTAATAATCTCATAAATTGCTCTTCATCTGGGCCCACTGTCTTTATTTTTCCTGTTATTTCACAGGATCAGTAAGAGAAAATAATTTACTGTCAAACCCAATATAGGGGTTTAAATGCTTCAGAGTTGGGACTGCAAAGAGGAGTAGGTATTAAGATGGATACAAGATTTAGGTTGGGTTATGGAGTCAACGTCTTCTACCATATCCAACACTGAATCTCTTGTTCTACCCTCTGGATATTTCCCCCATCCCCAAACTCTAAAGGCCCTTTACTGTCATTTTATTATCAAAGTTTATAGCTGTAAAGAAGCATTCTGGCCGGTCTGCTGTAGGATGCCTTGAGGCCTTGATGTTAGTATGTGCAGGCCCATGGTAAGATGCTGGAACTGCAAATCCACCTCAGTAAGTAGAAAGCGGGGAAAAACGGAAGAAAAAGGCTGGCCACTCTAGTCTGGTAGTTATTAGAGTTTATTAAGGGAAACTTACCTAGGAGGCATGTCTCAGGCTGCTACAAGGTGAGATGTATCGCAGATGAGATGTATCACCTCACCACTTGGCAGAGAATTATGTGGAACAAAGCAGGATAGTCATGGGTACTCGTTCATGACTAGCCCTGGGTAAGGGTAAATGCTTTACATGCTTGAACAGGTTAGGACAATGGCCTGTTCCAGGAACCAGTAGTGGGAGGCATGTCAGAATGAACAGGGATTACAATGTCTCCAAGGAGGATTTTGGAAAGCAGTCGCCCCCTCTGTCCAGGTCCAGCTTGCAGGTCAGGCAGCAATCATGTCATGGAAGTGTTTCCTCCACACTAGAAATCTAAAATTTCTTCCTGCAGCCAATGATTTGCTGAATGCTTAACCAACAGCTCTGTGATGATGAATTGAGCCCTTATTTCTAATATTTTGCAATTTCCATCATGTAAGTACTCCCAATATGGCTAATTTCAAACTGCCAATGTGAAGTTAACCAAAGGCAGATTTGGAAAGAAATGTGCACTATTATCCAGCACAGGTGACTCTAGAATTCTTTTATATCTCTCCCTTTGATTTTAGCATATTTGCAAAATTGTGCAACCATAATCTCAATGCATCTTAGAACATTTTGTCACCTTAAAAAGAAACTCCATTCTACCTTGGCCAGGTTGCTCAGTTGTTTAGAGTGTTGTCCTAAGCACCAAAAGGTTATGAGTTCAATCCACAGTCAGGGCACACACAGGAGGAACCCTCCTGTAACACCGATCCATGTTTCTCTCTCTCACCTCTCTCTCTCTCTCTCTTTGCCTCCTCCCTCACTCCCTCCTCCCCTCTAAACTTGATGAGCGACATGTCCTCAAGTCCTCAAGTGAGGTGGGGGAGAGTCAGTTGACCATAAATGTGAGGGGTTTTTTCTGGATTCTTTATTCTATTCCACTGATCTATTTGTCTATTCTTATTCCAGTACCACACTGCCATGCCGAGTCATAAAACCAGATACCATATAGATCAATGGAGATCTTGGGAATTCAGAAACAAACCCTCATATTTATAATTCATTTTTTAAAATTTATTTATCTCTAGAGGGGAAGGGAAGGAGAAAGGGAGAGAAACATCAATGTATGGTTGCCTTTCGTGCGTCCCCTGCTGAGAATTGGCCTGCAGGGAACTGGCCTGCAGGGAACCCGCCTACAACCCAGGCATGTGCCCTGACTGGGAATTGAACTGTAATCGTCTGATTTGCAGGCCGTGCTCAATCCACTGAGCTACACCAGCCAGGGCCCACATTTATAATTCATTTTTGACAAGAGTGCAAAGAAAATACAACAGAGAAAGACTTGTGGGACTCTGTGGGCAGTTTTGTTATTTCTGATTCAATAAATGCATAATTTATTTTTTTAGTCATAGCCACAAATTAAACAACATAGGCATAAGTTTTTATATTCTCTTTTGTGATACTGTTATATATAAAATGCATATGTATGCTATAAACCCAATAACACATTGGGGTAATTATTAATTTATATAATTTTATGTCCATTAAAAAAACCAAAAGAAAGAAAGTTATGTATTTATAG